AAATAGGTAAAGATCGGACGACCATCCTCTCTCCACGTCGACGTGAATGGACGGTCCAGATCGATGCAGGATGAATATAAATACCTCGCGTCACAGGGGAAGTCAAACCCTAACGCCGAAGAAGAAGAACTAGGCGCTAAAGAAAAAGGCCGACCGCCGATTGCCGTTGCACTGGAGCCACCGCCGACCGCTAAAAATAGTAAAAAAATTTCTTACCCATTTGGAATTCGATTCCAAGCCTCCCTATGACCATATCGAAGCAAGAGAAACAGCGGGTGAGCCGAAAACTACGGATAAAACCTAGCGGAGCTGGTGTGGTCAAAACTTAAAAATCTCTTTAATGAGTCTCTTTCCGCTTCCTGTTTTACGCGATTTTTCAATCATTATGTTCACCGTCCTTTTCTGTACATGTTAACCAAAGAAAAAACCCCAGCCACGAATGAGGACTGGTGGAGCCGCCGCACCCGAAGACTCCTCCGTCGGTAAGTTTGATTTTTTGTGATTTTTTGGCCAACCGATACCTCCTAATGTATTTTTTCGCTGGGATACATGTAAAATCGGTCAAAACCAACTAGATCATAACGAACCGCCGCCATGCCATAACTTCAAAATTGGCCGAAAAGAGTTTTGGACACTGATTTTAGATTTCTGGAGTATTTTTAGGTACGTGACAAGTGTTTTGGATTTCATATGAAAAATTCAGGAAACTCGGGACCCGTTAGGAAGTGTAGTAAATAGTGCAGCATCTCGAAACACTAATTCGGGTAAGGATCCCTCACTCTATTCCCCGTTACGGTAAAATGAGACTTAACCATGTATAATTTTATATTTTTGTGAAAATTTAAAAAATCTTAAAAATAATTACATGTCACTAGTGAAGTCGGAACCAGTTAGTTCACAAATTTCCTGATTTCTTATTTATTTTCCTATATTATCCTATTTACTTGTTATCATATTGTGCATATTCTAAATTTATAGTTTTTATGATTTTATCGATTTATCTTGTTTATTCGATTATCTGGTTACTCGATCCCTTATTATGATAAATTATGTCGTCTAATTAATTTGTAAATACAATATGAGATATTGGTATGCGTTTGTTATTTGTTTTGTTAATAGAAATCTTCATGTGAAAGACTTACTAAGTACTGAGAAAAAAGACATACGAGTCCGGTACATAAGAAACCCTACCGTGAATCCCTTACCCAAAAAGTTCGAGAGATATGGTTCACTCTCATATCAGACGGGATATCGAAGCGATGAAAAATTTAGCGCCCATTACCAGACGAGGTGTGAGGACGACTGGTTAATTGTTAAAACTGGATATTAGTTTCACGAATAGAAAAATATCTCTATGAACTCCCAAAGATACCAGTAAGCAAATAAGAGAGGAAAATTATCGTATTTTATGCGTAAAAATAAAAAGTGGTATGGGTATGAGTTTTAATATATTATTTTTTGAAAAACTCGTAACAGTAAGTATCAAACAAACATTTTTAAGTTAAATGTATTTAATTAAAGTAATTACTACTTTAGTTGTTTTTCTTATTTTTATCAATATTTAGTTTTCCGTATCAGTGAGTAATGTGATATTTTTATTAGATTCGTGTAACTCGTTCTTTCATTAACCATTTCAGATCAAGATACAGACTCCGATCAGCAAGAAAACTGTGAGTAGTTTACCTCCCGGATCCCTTCAATAACTAGTGGAGGTTAACTCTATGACATTTATCTATTTATTTTAAATCATTTATTTACTTTTTTTTTTACGAACTACTGTAGTAGTAACATTCTCATAACTCTATTAAGCATTTTAATTTATTGTGTAAAGAATGTAAACCATAACATATTATTCGCTTCTGCATTTAAATTATAAATTCATCTCCTTTAAGATTCCGAATTTTTATAAAATTTATTCAAAAAATATTTATAATTTAAATAAAATATTACACTAATTACTTAATTTTCGAATCTGGACACTTATTACATTTTAATCGTTACTATTTTTTTATAATTTTATTTATAATATTTTTTATTTATTTCAAGTACTTAATTTATTTTTATTTTTAACAAAAAAATTTAAAGATCTATATTATTTTTTTTTTTACTTTTGAAAAATAATTTTTATTAATTAATTAATTTAATAATCTAAAAATATTATTATTATTAATTTATTAATTTATTAATATATTAATTAATTAATTAATATTATTTTTAATTCAAAAATAACTTAATCATTTTTATTTTTTCTCTTATAAAATAGAATAAAATTAATTATTTGAAATGCTTAAAAAACATCACGAAATCAATTGTAACATAAAAAAAAAAATTATGAATCAAATTAAGTTTTAGAAATTAATTTAATAATTTATTCTAAAACATTTTAATGTACAACTTTTCTAAATAAAATATAAACACACACATTTGGTCTGTTACTCTTATTTTACTAGAAAACAAAGGATTAAGTGACAACGACCCAAAAGGAATAATGAACCAAATTTCAATAATTAATTATAGAAACTATATATTAATTTCCTACATTATTTTATAAATTATTAAAATGAATTTAATTTGTAATATAATTTATAAAATATTTACATTTTTAAATTTTTGTAATAATTTTTGATAAAGAAGAATAAGTCCTTGTTATTGTGAATATTTTCTTAAATATAAGAATCCAATTCCACCCACCCTCTTTTTTCAGACATTCTTCATTTAATATAATATTTAAAATACATTAAAAAAATTTAAATATTTTTATAATATTAATATTTATATCATTTTGTACTACTATAAATTAATCGGGTTTATCTATGTAATTAATGCGTCATTCCTTATAAAACAAGGTGTCGACTCGAATAAAATTATAAATTTATAAATATTTTTTCAATGTTATGATATGATGAATGTGTATGCATAATTTTTTTTTAAAAAAATAATTATTAAAAATTTATTGTATATACCAATAATTTATTATTTAAATTGTGAGAAATTTTATTCACTAAGTAAAAAGGAAAATTTCATAAAATATTATACATATTTACTAAATCAGCAATCGTATTAAATACGATGTATTATAAAAAATTTACATTTTTAATTGGTTGATATAAATTGGATCAAAAATAATTATTGAATGAAATATTCAATTTTATAAATTAATTAAAAATATATATTTATTTTTTTATAAATAAATAAATAATTAAAAAAAAAGTTACATCATCAATGATTTAAAAAATTTAAATTAAAAAAAAATGTAACTCTGATACTAATGTAAAGTAATGATCTGAAATTTAAAAAAAAAATAAATTATAAATTAAATGAAGAAACTAAATAATAAAATTAATTTATATAAATTGATATAATATTTGAAATCGAATCATAACTTCGGATACGTAAAATGTACGAGTTTAAATGATTAGTTGTGCATTCCTCACATGTTCTATTCAATTGGGTTATAATTGATTTATGGACAGGGTGATTACTTAATAAAAATATGTGAATACACACATACACATATATATGTATATATATATGTATGATCGACCATAATTCCAACTAGATCTCAACTCCAAACTTCCTCTACAGAACTAAACAGTAGAACTCGGCTACAATCCAAAGAGAGGGAAGCAAAGAGTCACATCTAATTTCCTTTATAAATCCAACTCAACCACTCTTTTCAAACAGATCTATATATTCTAAATGTACCCTAAACAAGATCAAACGCAAACGAAAGCATCAATCTCCCACAACCCTTCTTTAAATCCATTTATGAACTAAAAAGCATCTTGTAATTTTTCATTTTTTTTTACAGCCGCAGATTGCTCTCTGAAAACAGAGCATCACAACATGTCTTTGAAAAACAGAGCCCTCCATACTACCACTTGTACTTTATTACCGTCTTTACCTCTTTTTTTTTCCTCTGAAATTTCACCAGATGAGTCCAAACGAACATATTCTTGAGTTTCAGTATAAAATACTGCGTTTGTTTGTTGTAAATCTCCATTGTTTTTGAAGTTTGTATACTGCAGAGCAGGAATTCAGTGTGTTAGTTCTTCTTTGAGTTGCTCTGTTTTTTTTTCAAGAGATGGCAAGAGCTGGGATTTCGAAAACTAAGATGTTAATCTTTAGGTAAATGTTTTAAATTTGAGAGTTTGATGGTTTCAGAGTTCATAGAGATGAGGAAGTTTATTTTTTTGGGATTTGATTTTGGATTACCGATTAGTTTCAGTGAGTTTACTGGGTTTTTTTTTAAAAAAAATTCCTATATTTTTCCTCTTCTTGTTACTGAGATCATGCTGGTGATTCTGCTAAGGAAAACACTTGGGTTTCTTTTGATCTTGACATTGTTTTCGGTCTGCTAATTATCTTCTGGTTTCCACCATTGCTGATCATGATTCAAAGTTCATGAAGTTGTAGACTAAAAATATAGACCGAGTCAGTCGGTCTATGTTTTTTATTTTCCCACTCTTTTCCTGTTCTTAATTAGTGAGATTAAGCTGATGATTCTGCTAAGAAAATCATCTGGGTTCCTTTTGATCTTGACGTTCTGTTCGGTCTGCTAATTATCTTCTCATTTCCACCATTGCCGATCATGATTCAGAGTTCATGAAGTTGGCTAGACTGAAAACATAGACCGAGTCAGTGGGTCAACTGGGTTTTTTTTTTATTTTTCTACTCTTTTCCTGTTCTGGATTAGCGAGGTTAAACTGGTGATTCCGCAAAGAAAATCCTCTGGGTTCTTCTTGATCTGTAAATTCTTCAGTAAAAATAATCTGGGTTCTTCTTAATTCTGACATTCTTTTACATCTACTTATTATCGTATACTTTTATCCGCCATTGTTGATCGTGGTTTTACCAGTTCATGCAGGGAAACTCAGCGAGTTGAGCGTCCATTTACGAAGCTTTCAGGGGCAAACTACTATGGGGAGAAATTTCGTGGGTCGTCGTCGGGGAAGAGTGATGAGAAATCAAAGGTCGAGGCTCAAACGACGTCGTCCTGGGTTCCTCATCCTCGAACAGGCATTTACTTCCCCAAAGGCCACGAATGGGTAATGGACGATGTGCCGGCAACGGCTGCTTCTTTTCCCAGGACTCACTGGTTCAGGAATGTTGACGGCGTTGACAAACCAGACCCCTGAACATATATATATACATACACCCATATCTTTCAGAAAGTGTCTATAAGATGATAGTATATATATATATATATATGTATGTATGCATGGGCATGTGTATGTATGGGTAATTAACTTAAGGTAATTAAATATATGAATAAATTATTAAATTAATTGTCCATGTTTATTATTTAAATATTTTTTATTTGGTTACAACGTTCAGTTTGTTTTTATCTTTTAACAGAAAAATTAAAATAATTAAAATATATTTAAATATTTTTCAAATAACTTCAACTAATTAATTAAATCAATAATTTAATAACAATAAAAAATAAATTAATATTAAAATTAATTGACTAATTTTATTAATGTAATTAATTAATTGTTTTAAATTATTTTTTAAAAAAATTAAATAAATTTTAATTATTTTAAGTGTTTTTATTTTAAAAAATTATAAATTTAAAATAAATAGAAAATATTAAAAATTAAAGTAAAAATTACGAAAGAGAAACGTCAGCACCAAATACAACTTTCCTTTCCGTTTCGTGTTTTTAAATTCAACAACCTGACAAGTAGCATAATAAACTTTCAACGACCATCCATCTTCAGCCTGTCGCAGTCTATAGAATTTATATATATGTATATATATACACACCAGTTATATGTCTCTCCCGCTCTGCAGAAAGACCTTAAACAGAAAAAACGCATTCATCTTCCTTCCCATTTCTCCGTCTCTGCTCTGTCTTTTCCTGATCTTTAAAATTTTAGTAAAAAATATTAGAATTTATACACATATATATACATATACATTTGTATTTCTAGTTTGTCTTTGTTTAGCAAGTTCTTCAGCCGCCGCGCACTTAGCTCCTCTCTTCTTCTCGGTTATTTCGGAGGAAATATTTTGTTCTTGGTGCATGACGAGCGCGTCGGAACTTTTTTACAATCGGAGGTTACGATTGGGCCGGGATGACCAGGATTTAGGATCTTATCCTTCTAGTGACCGCAGTTTTCACAAGAATTACAACCGTCGCCACCATCGTCATACTCACCGCAATGATTTGGACGGCGGTGACCCCTTCCGGCGCCCGCAAACCGCGAGGCTCAGTCCCCGTGCCTCTCACTACGTAAGTTCGATTCATTTCTCTCACTATTGTTGCTTTTAATTATGGTTTTGATTTAGTTTCTGTTTGCTTCTGGAAAAATAATAGAAAACAAAAGGAACTATGGATTAGGTTTATGAGAAGATTCGGGAATTATAAATACGGAGTTCTAAGCTGTGTTTTGGCTTAGCAATACTTCCGGTGCTGGTAATAAACAAATAATAAACCAAATATGTTTCTCTCGCTGCCTCTATTTGCTTCTTATCTGCATGGAGCATTAGACTTGATGGCAATACCTAACTGGTTTTGGCTTGGCCAATAAGGCAACTCATGGTTGATTTTCAGTCAAACCTGCAATGGATAAAAACACTTATGAAGGAATGGAGCAAAATTAAGAACAAATTAGAAATTAACAAAATTATAGGAAGCAAATTTCAATTAGTGACTCCATGCTGTTGATAAAATTAACTTAAAACAGAAGATGCTATGCGTTATATCAAGATCCTGCGGATTAAGGTTGTTACTTACATTCTTTTAAAAGAAATTTTGTTTTCACTGTTTCCAAATTGAGGTAAGGATGAACAGATAGCCTGTATATGGTGTCAAGTCCTTAGGAAACACATTCAGGGAGAATAATATTAGTTTTGTTCATCATCTGAGTAACACATTAATAGAGAAGAAATCAGTGTGCTGAGCTGATGGGGATCTTGCTGTTAAGAAAGAACCAAAGTCCTAATCGTGACTGAATTGCCAGAGTATCTATCTTTTCTTATTGCAGCTGTTATGGGGAATCTTATTACCTTGTACCTAGTCGTGTTTGACTTACTGTGTAATTGATTACTAAAAAGAAATCGGTCTTTAAGTTTAGTTAGAGGAGATACATTTTCTTTAAAAAATTTTTATTCATTGTTTTTAGAAGTGCTTTAACACGCCTTGATTTGTTGTCTTTTATACATACATACATATATATATATAGAAATTTGTGTTAATAGAATAGTTAAAGTTTCAGGAGACCTTATTTAACTGTTTACATCTGAACGACAATACTTCCATAATTTCTTTTTTCCCTTTCATGACCAGAAGAATGAGATTAAAGAAATGGTCTCGTCTAATATATTGATGAAAAACATCTAAACAACCTAGAATGTGCACGACAGTGCAAAATGTTAGTGCAATACTAAAAAATTTAAAAGGAAGAGGTCATGTCAGAGCATTCCTAAGAGAAAATTTTTAGTTGGTTGAAAGAAAAAAAAGAAAATTTTGGTCCACTTTGCGGATTATTTTTGCAAGTGGCTTGGCATGGATTGAGAGGACTGTCCAAAATGTAATTTTTAAGGTAATTTTTGACAATATGTAAGATCAAGAATTGCCTAGGAACAGCAATTCCTTCTGATCTAAGCAAGTCTTTTAGGTCTTTACTCTATTGCTTTTTGATTGCCTAGAGCGTGCATCAGTTCGGCTTGATCAAGGCACTAGTCAGTTTACGTCAAGTAACAATGTCAATATAGAAACCTTAAGCAGTATGAGGAGGCTGAGTTCAAATGGAAATGAGAGACTTCCAGGGACAGTGCTACTTGCAAGGGCAAGGCTTCTTGAGAGACTGAGAGGCGTGTCTGCTTCTCAGAACAGGTTGGTGCTCTGAACAACATGGGACGTTTGACATTAATAATGCATGGATTCATATCCTTTCTAATGGAAGCCATTAGACTCATTTGATCTATATATCTATGTACATATCACCAGATTCTTTCTTTTATATGTGCGGACTTCTGCATATTTGGTACTTCGACAGATCGCACTTTCACTTTAAAAGCTGCAGGAACTTTTTGATACTAGATAGATCAACTTCACACATTTCAATCCTCTCTATTTCAATGCAGGATGCTTTTTAGTTTGTTTGTGCAATAAGGGCCACTGTTAGTTATTGTGAACATAAACTTTAGAACCATTATTACTGTTACGGTTACTAAATATTATAGTAATAATCTTGAATTTGTAATTGGCAGTTTCTTTTTCATGCTTGTTATTGTGTACAATATGACGATAATGATTCTATGTGCATGTTCTTTTCTTTCTCTTTGCTGTTGCTGCCAATCCTCAGCCCACTTTCAAGATAATAATGTATGTTATGTTTGCACTTATTCAGCCGGAGCAGCAGAGCTTCATCAGAAATTTCCCGAAGGGACTCCCTGATTGTGGATGACTTGAGACTTGTTGATGCAGGGGACTGGGGAACTGATAATTCTCTGGGGCAGTCTTCCCCATTTACTGACTTGAACATTCAAATGGAAAGATCACAGTTATTGCAACAACAGAAACCACCAGGTCTCAATCAGGAAGCTCTGGACAATCTGCATATGGAGGTATACAGTTGCACAGAAACTGATACTGAAGGAAGAGTATCAAGTGCATCAAGTGATTGCAGCATATGTTTAGAGAGTTTCATGGAGAACGATGTGCTTGTAAGTCTGCCATGCGGGCATCGATTCCACTCATCCTGCTTGAACCCTTGGGTTAGAACTCGCGGAGACTGTCCTTATTGCCGAAGATCCATACTCCTTGGTAAGGAGAGCCACACTTGTGAAATCAACACAATCTCTTCTTAACTGAATATCATCCTTATCTTTTTGTTGTAGCATAAACTTACTGTACCCTTTAAGATGTCTCAGAAATGCTTTGTACTCGTCCGATATTTTGTCTCTACCCCGATATTACACCATGCTGACTTTCACATCTAATTTCATGTGAGAAAGGCTTATTCACATGTTACGATCAATACCATTCTCATCAAAATTTCAATCACTTCAATGATTGCAATGCATGACACTGGATGTGAAGGTTGGTTTGGTGAAAATTTTACAAAATCTGAACTATGTGCTTCACAACTCCAAAATTATAGGACTCTAAATGTTTACACGAAAACAAATAGGAGAATTATATTCTGATTGACATAAAAATTTTACTAAAATTTCCTTTTGGGTGTTGACAAAGAGAACTAACTTTGAACAGTTTTGGATGATTGCATGCGTTTCTTAGAAATAAAGCACTGAGGACATGCTGCTTTCCAAGCAAGTGAAAGAATCTTTGGTCCACAACCACGATGGGTGCAATAAAGTTACAGAAATCATATGACAAAAAGTGGTACCACACCTTTCTTTGTTCTTTCTTTTTCCTAGCAAGTTTATTCATTTTCTATTAAAAGGCCATCCATCTCATTTACTAATCTCACATCACTAAAAGTTTTCACATCACACAAAATTAACCTTCATTAACTTTCTTCTTCCTCCTGTTTCTCCATTCTTCCCAACTAATATTTTGATCATTCTTCTTCAAATTCATTAAAGAAACCGCAACCATCTTTACCCATTTCATGTGAAAAAACAAATCATAGCCCCTCCTTCCTTCACCCATTTCTTCTCGTTGCGGCATCTCTCGTAAAAAAAATTCAGACGAGTAATATGTGTTTTCAGAGATCAGCACCCATGAAAAATATCTTCATAAAAAAGCAAGATTCTATGCTATTTGCATCATACATAACCTTCCGAGTCTTCCAATCACATCCCTCACTCTATCACTACCATATATTTGTTAGCAATATATCAATTGTAACACACAAAAAGCAGCCTAACTGATAATTTAGTAACATTAAATTTTTTTAGTTGGGTAATCATAATATATTATAGCTAAATTTTTTATAAATAAAAAAATAAATAATTTAGTGGCCATAATTACATTGTCTACAACTCAAACTCTTAAAGATGATATGCAAGTCCAATTTGGATATTTGAAAATGAGAATTCTACACAATTTATTAGTCTTTGACTATAAATTTCACATGGGATTCAGGCTGTTTTTGTAAAGTTCTGAAAAATAATAAAATTTAGCAATAATAAAATAATAACGATTTCAAACTTTCTTTTTTTTTTTTTTGAACAAAATGGTTTCAAACTTTCTGCAATCAGAATATATATAAACTCTATTTTTATATTTTTTATAGATGCTTAAATTACACTGATATTAACTTTTCAAATTCTGTGTAAAAAAAAACTTTTCAAATTTACAAAAATCTCTCACAAGTCTGCTTGGATTATATACCAACCTAGAAAAGTTTATTTACCTAAACACTGTTAAAAAAATATACAATGTAAGCCTGAAAAACAAAATATCCTTTTATTTAAATCCCTACGTTTTTATTTCTATCTCTAAAAATACTAACTAATACATTTTAAATAAATTTCCATACTTTATACCATAAATTTATATTCTCACATATCATGAAAATAATTACAAAAACATCTAGAATATTTGAATTGCTAAATCCAAATATATAAATATATGTATCTTAATATCATAAATTCCTAATGATGCAGCTCATGTGCTTTTTCCTATTAAACCCAAATGAATCTTTTAGCTATTACACAATTTCTAGTAGTATGTAGAAATAGAAGTCCCACAACTCTAAAATGTTGAACAGGGGGTTCTTTTATAATTAAAACTCATAAATTAGGGATAATAACCTCAATAAAACTCAAAAACATTAATTAGCAACTGTGGACAAAATCACCTTAGACCCCTATTCAGAGATCATAAGTTACAGCTCCAAGTGAGATAAGAACAGGAAAACCAAAAATATCGGGCATTTTGTATATGCTGATTTTCAAGTAATGTTTACCTTTGCCACTTTGATACCCAGAAAGGGAGATAGCACAACTGCATTGATTACTGTCTGAGTGTAAGCAATGACCATTGTCTACGCGTTCTGGTAATGGTGCAGCTTGTACAACAACACTTTTCCAGCAGCATTTCCCACAGCCATGAAGCCACCAGCAGGACTGAAATCCATACAACGGGGATAACGAAGGGCCGCGTTCTGGGGAGGCCAGTTGGAGAAAACAGTAAGTGATGGGATATGTATTAACTTCATGCTGTTGTTCTTCACGGTGGAGCATATTGCCAATATCTGAGAATCATGGTTAAACTTCATGAAATCCACTCTGGTCGTCAGATTCTCGACAGTCTTGATTGGTTTTTTCTTTCCACCCAAAAACTCCTCCCTCTTGTAGATGTTCACTATCCCGCTATCCGAACCAGCTGCAAAAAGACTTCCATTAGGTGAAGTGCAAACGACAGTACTGTTTATGCAGCCCTCATCAACAGCTTTATGGATGCATCTTCTTGTTCGCAAGTCCCAGTGGTACATGTGACCATCTCCTCCAGAGCTCAATAATTGCTTCCCATCCTCAGCAAAGGCTAAAGAACGAACAGTCCCATTCATTTTTAGCGTCCCAATCAGTTCCTTTGTTCTCGAAGAAACCAACAATATGTAACCTTCATTACCCACAAAAGCAATCGTATTTGAATCAGGGGAAACCTCGAAAACTTCCAAACTTTTTTCCTCCCTACCAACCAAGGGACCTATTTTATCAAATTTTGCTTTCACCAAATCAAAGCTGTAAAAGAACTTTCTTCTTCCAGCTACAATAACTTGTGAACCATCAGGTAAGAAGCTTGCCCTCCTAATTGGGCAATCATCAAGGAAAATGCTTTGTATTTTTGTATTTCGTTTCCCATCGATCTGGAAAAATCTGACCTTTCGATCTGATCCAGCTGTAAGTAGCAACTGAGCATTTCGATGGAACTGAACTGAGTTAATCACGCCATTTGAAGGATCCTCCGCATTTGCATCCACAAGTTTTGAATACTCAAGGAGTCCAGGCAACAATTTGACACTGCTCTTCACCACAAGTTCTTCATTTGTTCGAAGAATATTATCAGCAGCTTCAATATCTTTGTAACCACGGGCCAGTTCAACCCTATTTTCTTCATCTGACGATTCATCATCATAATAGTTATCACTCTTGGATTGTGAATCAAGCTGGGCCCACTCTGTGCCAGGATTCAACTTCGCATGGTGGGCCCTCAATCTTAAAACATACTCTGAACCAGAAATCAAACCCTCATCTTCTTCTTTCCTCAGCTTCCTCAATCGATTAACTTTAGCTATATTCACATTGATCTGTTCTTCTTCCTCGTCCTTCCAAACTGCTTTCCTGGTCTTTGGGTCTTCTTCATACCCACTCTCTTCTGAAATCCCGTCATCATTTTCATAAACAGTTAGTTCTCTATTTGCAGAAGGAACCACAACAAATAAATCATCTCCGTCCTTTTCTTCTTCCTCTTCCTTTCCAAAGACAACAGGGGAATAGAGAGATCCAAACAAGAAATTCTCCAGCTTCTTCCTTTCTTTTTCTTGTTCAATTTCTTCTTCCCTTTCTTTCTCTTTCCTTCTCTTCTTTGTCTTTGTGATGTCTAGATCAGAATCTGTTCCATTTTCAATGTTTCTTTCATTCTCCAAAAGTGCAGCCTCATCATTATCCTCCCTTTTCACCTTGCCTACACTCCTAGATTTCACATTCCGCGGTATCAAACTCATCTTTTTCAGGAAGAAAACTCTATTCTGCAAACCAGAACATTGCAGGATCAACAATACACTTTAAATCTCTCAAAAATATACATAATAAATAAAAGGGTATCTTATACAAGACTTCCACCACAATCTTTAAGTAATGAAAAACACCCTAGAGTAATAATTAATTGCTAGATTACTTATATTTAATAAATATCACTACATGGGAACTTGGGCAATATTAAACTTCAATTACATTACCCAATCATTTCACAAACTGTAATTATTTATCTATATGCCGATGCATAAAAAGTTCTTTACATACAGTCTCTTTGTAATTCACTACATGAGCACGACACCTTCTAAATCCTACATCACTAATCCCCGTATTCCCTCTTTACAAAATCTATGGCATTTATTGGCTTCTACTTCATTTAACAGGCTCTGAAAATCAAACTTAAACAAAAATTCACCTTTCAACGAGTAGTCCAACAACAACTCCAACTTTTTTCAGAAAAAATAAAGAACAATATCAACTTACCAATCATAAAAACTACTAGGTAAATAAAAATCACAAGGGGAAAACCAGTTTGGTTTGCCTGTCAAAATCGCTATGTCACAATGTGGGCATAACTCCACAAAAATAAAAGTTTTCAATGAATTCAAAAGGAGCCACCACTTATCCATTTAAGCCAAGATTAGACACCAAAGTATATACTGCCCTAATAAAGAGAAGCTAAGTCCATAAAACAAAACTAGATGGGAATCGATAAGGCACTCATCCAATGACATAGGATTTCAAAAAATCTGCCAATGAAATAATCTCTCTGTCCAAAGTAAAAGGCTCAACCTAAAATACACTAATTTATGCAAAAAGGATTCCTCAAAAGATATATTATCCATTTAGGACACATGCAGTCATAGTTTTGATCTTTTACGTCTCAAATCCTTTCAGTTAATCATGCTTAAAAGCCCAAGACAGCCTCTGTTTTCCTATTCATTTCATCTCCAAGTAGCAAGTAAAATGTCACAATCCTAGCTTAAACAATTCCAAGACAGCACCTTAGATCTGAAGACTTAAACAGTGAACACAATAACCTAAAACAGCTCCCATTTAATCCATATTAGCTAATCTGCATAAATAAAGCCCAAACAGCCTCTAATCACAAAGACCGAAACAGTGAATTTGGAAACACAAAACAGATCCAAGGATGTGCTGTATCCTAAAAGATCAAGACAACTTCATAAAGTAGAAGGAATAGCCAGACTGGATTCATGAAGTGCAAACAGGTCTAAAACATAAAAATAAATCCTGAAGCAAAATTGCAATATTCACAATTTAAAGAAAGAAGTAGCTTGGGTTCTAAACAGCGTAGGTAACTCCAGAGAGAACCATAAGTAATTTTTAAGAATGAAATTTAAAACCATTTCGAAAACATCTTCAACAGAAACAGGTTACCTAAACGCAATCAAAGGTAGATTTTCTGGTCCGTTGTATCAAACAGCCCCTTGAATACTTCAAAACTTCTTCCTTTAACATAGTTAAGCATCTCAAATGTTCTTAACCTCATCAAACACCCATGAAAATTCAAATGATAAAAAAATCTCCTGCTCTTTTCAAACATTAACAGACACACATTGGATAAAAATGAAAGTGTACTCTAAAATAGTGATAAGATGTCCAAATAAAAATAAAAGAGTGAAGGAAACGGCGAACAGGTGGTGGAGGCATGGGGGGGAGACTTCAAAACAGATTTGAAGAGGGACATGACTGGTATTCAGAAACTGAAGTTTGCAAGCACAGAACAGGACTAAAATGGGACTTTAAACAGATTTGAAGCCCCCTGAATAGACCGCCATGGAACTCAAAAAAGGCAAAAATGAAGAGCTGCAACAAATTTAACACTTAAAAACCAATGACCATAGAAATACAACCAGATTTAAAGAAAGAGACAATTCCTAATAACCTGAAGCTTCAAAAGGTTTAAAGGAGAGCATGAGCCATCTTTTCTTAATCAAAGCAAGAAAAAAAAAACCAATAAAGGAGGCCAAGACAGATTAGATATCGTGTGAAATGTCTTCACTTAGAGTTAGAGGCTCAAGATTGACTTACATGTCCTCCTCAACACACTGTTACCTCCAAATAGGCATGCACTGAGCAGGCATACATGTAAAGTTCATTCATGGGCGTACACACCTTTATTCATCATTCAACCACAATCACAATCAATCATTCATAAGCACACACCTTTGTCCATCATTCAATCATAACTACTTAACCAATTACGAATCTTAAATTAGTAAAACATCCCCCATATATTCAGCATACAGAAACATAGACAACATAGAATTCAACTACACTTTCCTTTCACATAAAAGTCATGTAGAAAATAATAAGCCATTGTTACAGGTTTTAGAAACTTTACCTAACAGACCCAGATTGGAAATTCCTAAACTACTCTCCTATCGTCTCGGTATCTCCACCTCTGAACCTCCTTGTTCTTCGTTTTTTCCCTTCCAATCTCTGTTTATCCTCACTCTATTCTCTCCTTTTTGCTTGTTTTTCGCCTTTCTTCTTCTTTCTCTCCTCTCCAATCTCCTCAGCCGAAACCCTAATCTCCCTTTTCCGTGCAACAAGGATTCTTCTCTCTGCTCCTCGATCTCCCCCGCGCACCAGGAAAAGAGAGCCGTTATTCCTTCACTACTTCAATCGTAACAGAATAACCCCTGCAAAAATCTTACAGAAATAAACCTAGGGTTTTCCTTTTATCGGTCCGCTCAAAACGACTCCGTTTGGTGTTCTGGGCTGCTTCCTGGGCCGGGGTAATGGTCTCAATATTTGGGTCGGGTCTGCTCCGGTCAAGCCTCTCTTTTCTATTCTCATTTTTCTTTTTTCCCTTTTTCTCTTAATTCAATTTTTCTTTTTGTTTTTCATCATTTTTTTTTCCTTTCTTTTTTCTTCTCTTTTTCATTTTCTTTTATATTTTTCATCTTTTATTTTTTACCATGATATCAACAGTAAATAATAATAATAATAATGACAATGATAAATTAAACTGTGGGTAAATTGAATTTCACTTTGTTTAACTTTCGTGAATTTATTTTTTTTATTCGTTATTTTCTTGTTTTAATTTGAATTTTTTAATTTTTTTATTATTATTATATTTAAAATTTGGCAAAATTAAAGTGCTATAATTACCGTTGAAGGATAATTTATGGTAAATTTTGGGTAGTGCTTCATATATGACTTGAGTGATTATAAATTGGTGAACAACATGTACCTAAAAATTAATTTTTCATTAATCATAATTTATATATTAAACAACCATATAATATTTTTGTAAACATTTATTTAATGGCCTTAATTTATATAATTAATTTTATAATTCATGTTATTAATTGTTAAGTTAAAATAAACATCAAGAAAGTAATTAAATAAAGAGATGAAATTAAATAAAATAAGAATTAAAAAATTATAAATAAAGGGTTTTTTTTTTGTATCTTTGTAATTATTGTTAAAGATATAGCAAATATTATATTTTTATATTACTAAATGTAAGAATTAAATATTAAAATTGATAGTAAATAAAAAATAAAATAATCCCAAACATAATCTAAAAAAAATTATTTAAAATATTTAAGTTACAAAATAATTAATTACCCAAAAGAACTGAATTGTAATTTCAGTGAATAGAGGGACTGAAATTGCAATTAAATTTTATTTGAAAATAAAATACAAAAGAATTTAAAATTTTGAAAAAAAAAATGTAAAAAAGTCAAAGTTGACAAAAAGTAGCGATTGTGATATATAAAAAATAAAAGAAAAATAATTTTTTTAAAAAGGAAAGTATAACTTTACCAACGCGTTAGTGTAATACACCTGCAACAGCTACTTCTCAAGTCATCTCTCTTCTATTTCCTCTTCATCTTCTTCTTCACGCGGCATATCCTCTTCCCCCATTAACTTTCCTTTCTCTTTACCTTTCCCTACTTTCCATAAACCCTCTCTCTTTCTCTCTCTCTATCTCGGAAAAAACCTGCAAAACAAGCAACCTTACCCCCTCTATTTCACGAGAGATTCCCGAATCAACATTGTTATTTATACAGAAGAAATCTGTGTATCTGTTTTTTCTAACAAAAAATTCAGAGGATCTATTTTGCCGTTTCAGAAAATCAGAGATAAGAAAGGACGAGAAGCGGAGAAGATGATGATGTTGCGGTCCTGCTGCAGACCGTTGGAACGATGCCTCGGGAGGCGGGTCGGGAGTGGTGGAGATGGGCTGCTGTGGCACAGCGACCTCAAGCCGCACGCTTCCGGCGATTACTCGATCGCCGTCGTCCAGGCTAACTCCAATCTCGAGGATCAGAGTCAGGTTTTCACTACTCCTTCTGCAACCTATGTTGGGGTTTATGATGGCCATGGCGGACCTGAGGCATCCAGATTCGTCAACAATCATCTCTTCGCTTATCTTAATAGTAAGTTTCTATCTCTCCCCTCGCTTCTCGTAAAACCCTTTTCGCCGTAATTTGAAATTTGGATGTTTCCCGGGGTTTTTGCGTGATGTACTGATATGAGATGTATATACTTGTTTTGCTGTGATACTACATGCATGTGTCAGTGTCTAATTCATCTATCTCTGTCATCTGGATTTGTTAGTATCTTTTTGTTTTTCCATATGGCAATCCTCTATAAACCCTTTAAATAATTTTCGTTTGAAATTTTTGTTTGATTTTGATAACTGTCTACACATATATGTACATATATATATCTGTAAATTGAATTCGTATCGGATATGGCAATCCTCTATAAAACCTATACATAAACCTGAATTTTTTGTTTGATTTTGATCATTGTACACACAGGTTTTATAGGCCTAAGTACTCATTAATGGGTGTAAATTTTTTTCATTTTGATCATTCTCTAGAATTTTCAGTTTAGTCTTTTAATTTTACTACTACCCATTTTCTAATTTAAAAATGTTTGTTTCAATTGTAGAATTTGCTACAGAACAGGGAGGATTATCTGCAGATGTTATAAAGAGAGCATTCAGTGCCACCGAAGAGGAGTTTTTGCATTTGGTGAAGCGATCATTAACAATGAGGCCTCGAATTGCTTCAGTTGGATCATGTTGCCTGGTTGGTGCAATTTCAAATGACGTCTTATACATTGCGAATCTTGGGGATTCACGAGCTGTCCTTGGGAAGAAGGTTTCTGGGGATAACAAAAACCCGGTGGTGGCAGAACGGCTATCCACAGATCATAATGTTGCAGTTGAGGAAGTGAGAAAGGAAGTTGAGGCACTCCATCCGGATGATTCCCACATCGTGGTATACACCCGTGGAGTTTGGAGGATTAAGGGCATAATTCAGGTACAATTTGGCAATCTCTTATTTTTTATTAGTTTGTTTCACGTATATCCACTTCCTTACTGAAAGAACCATGGGACAGCAATGAATTTGAAGCTTGGCTAACTAATGTTGTCATGATGCTATCGCGTTGAAACCTATGACTTCATGTGCCTTGAGGTTTAGTGTGTTAGTTCTTTATTAGTGTATTGTAAGGCTATCACATCGAGCTGTTAATGCAAGTATTACTTGATTAACCTTACAATTCATTGAAGTATTTTGAATTTGCTTTCGAGAACCTAATGATTGATACTTAAATGGGCTTCTACAGTTTGTTGTTTATTATTAGATTAATGCACAAAAGCTTCTGTATGTCAAGGTTGTTCTGAAGTAGGTTTCTACCGTACTCTTCCAGGAATCCTTTGCTCTGGCTCCTGATCTACCGTATCAGGCAGCTTAGTGAAATTTAGTCCATCTTCCACGCCTGAGATGTACATGAAGGCCCCATGAAGCATAACACGAAAGACTACGTAATTGGGAATCATATTTTCTTTTTCTGTCACTTTCAAAATCTTCTGCATTTTACTTTGATCTGATATCTGATAGTTCATATACAACAAAGTAATGTATTTGTAGAGCTGTTACTTTACCACTGGATGTGAAACAAATAATCTGGTACCTTAAAACATTCAATGGAGAAACCTGATGTGAATATTTTCCCCCCTCTTTTCAGGTCTCTAGATCTATTGGTGATGTGTACTTGAAGAAACCCGATTTCTACAAAGACCCAGTTTTCCAGCAATACGGGAACCCTGTTCCCTTGAGGAGACCTGCGATGACAGCAGAACCTTCAATTCTTGTTAAAAAGCTTAGGCCACAAGACCTATTCCTGATCTTTGCATCGGATGGCCTGTGGGAGCAGTTGAGTGATGAAGCAGCTGTGGAAATCGTTTACAAAAATCCACGAGCTGTGAGTTCCTGCATTTTCCTATTCGAACCGACTCAATTCCAACCTCCATAACATTTACTCTGCATTTGATTAATCCTTATTGAGTTTATACTTTTAACTTCTATATTTACACTTGGTGGTTTACTTGCTTTATCCTCCTTGCAGGGAATAGCTAGGAGATTGGTTCGAGCCGCCCTTCAAGTTGCTGCAAAAAAGAGAGAAATGCGATACAAGGACATTAAGAAGATCGAGAAAGGAGTAAGACGCCATTTTCACGATGACATAACCGTGATTGTGGTTTATCTCGACCACCGCAAAGTCAACTCCGATCAAAAACTCAAACGAAACAACATTGGCAGCACTTGTGCTCCTGTTGACATCTACTCCCTCAATGCAGATGAAGCAGAAGATGATCTGTTTCCCAGTCTCATAAAGTGACCCCCAAAAAAAACAAAAAGAAAATTTGGAACTTTTGAAAAGGGTGGGCGGCAGACTGACTTTTCTTCAATTTAGGTTATAATATATATATATATATATATAATAATAGTCAAAAAGAGAACTTTTGTGTAGATACAAAAAGTCATTGAAGGGTAGGTAAATGCTGATGGAAAAGAAGTTTTTTTCTTCACAAGTTGGAAGTTCTTCTGAGTCCTGACCAATTTGTCCATCGTTGATTTGGTTTCTTGAGTTCATATATTTGGTCACACCCAGAATGACTGAACCAACAATTTTGTTTTTCTTTGATCTTCTGCATATGGAAATAACAAGATTCTTCTGTTCTTTGATTGTTCATCCGTGCTCCCTTCTATCATTTTCCTTTTGTTTTTATTTTAAATTTTAATTTTATAAAAATATATACGTATATATGAGTGCACAGTATAAATAATTATTTACATATTAAATAATTAAATATTCATGATTATTTAGTAAAATAATCTCCTTTTGAAGTCAACTGGGTTTTTATAAATGTTTAGCGAGCAGGAAATGCTACATTACAATTATTCTTTAGTTATATTATATAAATTTTATTTTTTTTAAAAAAAAATCAACTTGTGAATTTAAAAAGAAAGAAAACCAAGAACGTGGTCTCTAGTTCAAAGTAATTAAGTCGTGAATAATTGCGATTACGGAATTAAAAATCTATGGTGACTTTCAAGGTCATAAGTTCAGTGCTTGAAATTTTCATGTCTAAAATAATGGCAGCAGCTGGAATTTGAAGCTTTCAACTTTGGTATTGGTAATAACATATGTATATATATATATATATATATATATATATACACAAACACGCACGCACATACATATGTATACATATATCCCTCTCCTTTCATGGCCAAAATTTGACCCTATATTATATTAGTATTATTTAGTAATTTCAGCTCAATAAATTATTTTTCCTATTGATATTAATATTATATTTTACATATATGAGTCAGAAAAAAAAAAAGATTCAACTAGAATATATACATATATATATATATATACACATATTTATATACATATCC